ATAAGTATCCAGTTGAGTGAAAGTAATTAGGGTTATCAGGGGTACCGCCTTATAAATTTGAGTTGAAAGTCGTTGAAAGTCGTAATCTGGACGCACCAATCTCTCAGTGGCGCTATTTTTTGCCTGCAACGAGTGAAACCTTTTTCACATCAGTGAAAAGTAAGAATTAACTGTTTATTAACAAACTTGAATCACTTTGTACTAGTACCTAATACCTATGTACATAATGGTCGATTTATTTTCTCTGTAATTTTTAAAATGCCACTTACAAAGTAGTAAATATGTATTATATTTATTTGTTAAAGTAATATCAATGCCGCCTCTTCTTTGATTTCAATCTCCACAACGTATGTAGTTAGGTCGTCATTCTGTCATACTGTGATTCGCAGGCATGTTACTACCCACGAGAGTGAGTTCCAAGCGAAAAACGAGTTTTATCAGGCATTTTCACTAGTTTCAATTTGAAGTTTTATTTTTACCAAGCATACGCTGTCTATCAGTTCTATCTATAAATCTTTACGTATCCGATTGGCATTTTCACAGGAATGTTTTTAAGCGAATTTTCGCGCGGATAAAAGTAACGTGTTTTTCAAAATGTTTATCATTTGGTTTTATTGTAAACGGTAATAAATGCAATAGTCAAGCTTGGTGTAATTATTATAGTCTAAAGTGTAAAACAATAATTGTTGATAATATAATTCGGCCAAGTGCGAGTCGGACTAGAGCCAAGCGTTGCATAGTGTGGTGATATGGAACCCTTGGTACGCGAGTCCGACTACCACTTTTGTTAAAAGATAAAGTTAAAACCTTTAGTCGTCATATTGCAGGGCATAGGCCTCCTCAATTTTTTTCTTTAAAAATTGACGAAAACTCATCTTTCCATATTCTCCTGTTTCCTCCTGCAAAGCTGGATCGATTTTAATGAGAGATAATAATTTTCTGCTCACCAGATGTCGCTAGTTGACATTGAGGTAAAGTTTTTGTTACACAATGTAATTTGATTGAGAAGTTGTTTTTTAATAAAAGTTTATCAGTTTCTATAGTATTATATTAATACACAAAACAATGCGTCAGTGGTTTGCTCTTTAATTTTTTGAACATTTATAACTTTTTTATTTTTCTACTTTTATGAATATCTGTGGTTTGGTTTATTTATTTTTAATGTTATTAATATAAAATATAGCTAATAGTACAAAAAGAAACAATAACTTTCACATTTTCCGAACAAATTAACTTCCCCGCTATGAAATCTGTCAAATATTATACCTCACTTTCTAGTGGCGCCGCCCTAGTGGCAAAAAAGTCGTGGATGCCCTCATTATTGGAGTGTAACTGCTTAATCGGCGTAATGGAGAAATTTAGTATGGTGTTATAAATAAAAACATCATGTTTTCTTGTAACACTTAACCTAACCTACGTATGTAAAATATAAAACAAAAGAAGAATGATATGTCGTAAAGTAGCTACACTTTGTACATGTGTAAACAATAACGCACAGTTTTTTTTTAACTACAATACAAGAAGGATGGTGGTAAGTCTGTAGGTCTTTACATCACATAAATAAATAATAAAAAATTAAACGTACGGCAGATCAAGACTACAAGTAGGTATCGAGCCAGTGAAAAGGTTATGACTCAGCGTAATGCTGCAGGGTAACATACAGCTCTAATGATTCTGCATAACCACAGATCCACCACGATCCACCTTATTGTGCTCATGAAATATATTTTATATCTACTTTTATAAATTAAAATATTTTAGTGCTTATAAATATAGCTATATATTATACATCAGATATATGTATATTCATACATACATTCAAGACATACACATACGTTATACATATTATTATACATATACTTTCTATATATAAAAACTAGCTGGTACTCCACGCGTTGCTGCCACAGAAAACATAATTGTGGAAATATCATTCAAATTTGAAGACTTAATATATTAATTAGGAATGATAATACATTTATTGAAGTTGAGTGAAATATTACTTTGAAATAAATTTACCGGTACGATATGCACGCTAACTACTATAAGTCAATTGTACTATGCCTATAATCTTCGCGGAAATGCAAGCAATAAGTTGACAAAGTTTTAACGCATCTGATGAACGGTATGTCTGAGTATAAAACACTCACAGGCACAATTAACCGCCCACCACATATTTTTTAATTATTTCCAAAAATATGCTGAAAATAAACTTTATTTTTTGTGTTTTAGGGGTTTAGAAAAATTGAATGAACGGAAATTAAGTGATTTTTACAAAAAATAGTATAGAAAAAAATCAATTATTAATGAAAACATTTTTCATTCTTCCAATTTAATAATGGGTATTGCCTCTCCTAGCTCTTGCAGATGGTTTGCCCATCCATAATATCCTGGATATTAGATTGAGAAATGACGTGCCATTCCTCTACTGCAGCTGCTTTCAACTCTCGAATGGTGGCAGCAGCTGGTATCCTGGCTCATATGCGTCTTTTGAGGTTGTCCCATATGTGCTCTATTAGGTTGAGGTCGGGACTGCGTGCGGGCCATGGCAATATTTGAATTCCGACCTCATTCATATATTCAGTAACACTCTGGGCAACATGGGCTCTAGCATTATCATGCATCAAAAGAAAATTCTGGCCAATAAAAGGGGCAAAAGGAATGACATGTTTTTGCAGAACCTCTTCGACGTACCTGTGAGCATTTACAGTACCTCTTTCAAAGATAACGAGGTCGGTACGAGCCTCGTAACTGATGCCTCCCCATACCATAATTGAGATTCTTTGATATCCCTCCGTTTCCACTATTGCACACGGAGTAAAACTCTCGTTTGGGGGTACACACGCTGGCATTCATCGGGACCTTCTGAAACTCCAGAAATTCTGATTTCATGTGAGAACAAAACATTTTCCATTTCTGCATTGACCAGTTAATATGATCACGCGCGAAACGTAACCTGGCTGTTCTATGCGGTCTGAGGAGTTCTGGAGCATGGGCTGGACGAAATGCTGTCGGATCTCTCTCAGCCAACTGTCTTCTTACTGTTCTTTCACTTACACTGACATTTCTGACTTCAAACAAAACATTTCCAACCTCAGCCGCTGTATGATAGCGATCTCGTAACACATTACAGAGAATAAAACGATCGTCCAAGTGACAACATCGATGCATGTCAGCTTGACCGGGTCTCCATGTGTAACGACCAGTCTCCCGATACCGCCGGATGGAGTCTCGTATTGTTGTACGCGGTACAACAAATGTTCGTGCAATTCGCTGCAGGCTGTACCCCTCATCAGATAAAGCTAGAGCTCTAGTAGCCCCAGCACCTCTAGCAACTCTAGCAGCATCAAAAGGCTTTTTTAGGGTTCCGTGGCCAAATGGCAAAAAACGGAACCCTTATGGATTCCGTCTGTCCGTCTGTATACCACAGCCACTTTTTTCCGAAACTATAAGAAGTACTATGCTGTTGATTGATTGACCCCCCCCCCCCCCCCGTAACTTTGAAATAAGAGAATGATAAAACTAAAAAAGATATATGATGTATTTTACCATGTAAACTTCCACCGAAAATTGGTTTGAACGAGATCTAGTAAGTAGTTTTTTTTAAACGTCATAAATCGTAAATTATGTTACTTGCTGCTACGGAACCCTTCATGGGCGAGTCCGACTTGCACTTGGCCGCTTTTTTAAGCACAACACACTAAAATTTACCTTAAGAAGTTGACTTCAGCAATTTTACCTGATGAGGTTAACAATTTCAATAATTTTAAGCCTCCAATATACCGATTCCAAATAACGCTGACTGTAGACTAATCTTTAAAATGGCATAAAACCACAAGATAAACAAAAAAACAGGGTAGATTTGGTTTAATCTGTTTCCAAAATGTAACCACTTAACACAAATAATAATCATGAAATGTATAAACTTACAAAAATAAATGTAGAGCCACTTAAGAAGGGTGGGTGGTTAATTGTTCCTGTGAGATATATTAGATAAATGTAACCATAATAGATTAGCCGATATGTTTTGTAAATTTTTTTTGTTAAATAAAATATTAGTAATGTTATTAAACATTACTAATATTCCCTTTAACCACTTCTGGTAAGCTTAAAATGCTTGTGTTAGAAGTGGTTCACGACAGTAGTCGAATGGCGGATTCGTACCCACGACCTTTCGAGTTCGCGGTCCGCGCCCTGCCATTAGGCTACTGACGCTGCCCAATAACAACAAACATTATGCTCAACGATGCTGGAAGAAACATGTTATCTGCTGGAGACTCAGGGTACGTTTTCTCTTAATTTTTAAAATTAGATAACAACATAAATTAATAACAACGGCGAACAATAATTGGTCACTCTGAGTTATTTTAGAAGATTTTTAGTTTTTAAAATTGTGAACAACAATGAAACAAGTGAAAGCAAATATATGTAGCAAAAATATATTATATATTTATTGTTTTGAGTTGTTATATCAAGGAAATCTGAATGCTGGCGGATTGCTGCTTTACTTAAATAATAGTTTGAAGATTCTAACACTTAAAAGTGAGGCGATTATGTGTAATGTCTGCTCATGTCAACATATGAAATGGAAACGATGTCAATGTTGACACAAATTATTTTGGCCACGCAGGTGCTTGGAGATACCGTCATCTTTAACTGTCTGCTTAACTAAAAAGTTGGCATAATCTCAGGAAACCTTCGCAAATTGACGTACCAACACAACTGCGAAGAATTTTGTGAACAAAATACAAGTCAGCATAGGCTGTATATGCATAGATGCCTTTGTCTTTTAATTATGACAATAAAAAATTGTCAGTTGTCATTGGTCACTTTTTGTCAATGCACAATGTTGTCTATGTCAAATGTTCGCAATTTCTTAATTCTTAGGTTAGATTTAAAAGTAGAAAGGGTTTTGGGATTTGGGTAAAGTAAATTACTGTCACAATTACTTGAAATAGTAACAGATTCATTTCATTTATTTATTATTAAACGATTCTGTAAAAATGCCTTTCATGAAAGGAAGAGCGCCTATACGCCGTACCTTAGATTATCTAAACGCCGGAAAACTCGTCTTCAAAGACAAAATAAGAATATTCTCAGTTGCCTATAACATTCTCGGTCAAAACAATACGGGAGCAAAGGAATTCGTTTTTTGGTATTTACCACAGATCCAGTACAAAAATCCTGACGTACAGGTAACTACATTAAAAAATTTAACTCCTTCGCCGTTTATAAAGTGCTATTTCGAAGATGGAAGACGGATTTTGGTAGACGTTGATAACAAATCCAAAGAAGAAATTTTAGAACATTTATTGAATACTGTAGGAAAATCTAAGGAGGTTTTAGAAGCTGAGTCTGTAGCTGCTGAAAAGAAAGATAATTCAGCTAACTTTGGAGTGGGTTGCGAAAGGGCTTGTATTTGTGAAACATACGGCCAAGTCCCATGTTCTGGTGTAGTTCCCCTGCCTAAATTTATGAGAGGGAAATACAGGAATCAAAAAGACTAGGATCCTATTACTGTTTATGTTAAGTAATAGATTTTACCCAGATAAATATTAAAGTTTCCTACAAAATCTGTATGACTCTGGAATAACTGTATGTAATAATTAGTGATGCAACGAATATGAATACGAATATTCGTATTCGCCGAATAGTAGACATTTACCGAATATTCGTATTCGGCGAATACTGATCACGAATATTTAAAAAACAATATTTTTGTACACAACTCAATTACTGGCGGACTTGGATAACGCGCGTCGTCGGCGCTTAAAAAATACGACGTGTGTTTTGGCCCTTAGCCTCAATGACGGGGGACGCCCAAAAAATATTTTTTTCTGAAACTATGTACAGACTCCTCGGAAAGACTTTCAATGGCTGGGAACATCCAGACTGAAAAAAGAAAGCGCCTAAAACCAGAAAATCTACAAAATTCATGTTTTTTTTTAAATAAAAATTTTCCTATTGTAAATTTTAATTATTAAAACAATAGAAAATCATCAAATAAATTAGTTTTTTTATTACCATGGCGAGATATTCATATTCATATTCGCTGAATAGTAGGTTTGATATTCATATTTGTAAAAGCAGTATTTGTTGCATCACTAGTAATAGTCTATTACATTATTTTTCAAATTACATAAATAATAAAGTAAACATTTTATATGTAAATACTGCTGGATACGGGCCTCCTATTTCAGAGAGGATAAAAAATTCAAATTGATAGGCTGCATTTCCACAAAATAGTTTTAATTTCTTAGACATTCTTTCTCAGTATTTTTCTTCCCCTAATATATCAGGACTTAAATTTGTGATCCAAAATTTTCACTCATCATTATTACAGACTATCAAAGTCCACTGCTGCATATAGGCTTCCCCATAGATTGCCTCATATATTGCTATAGATGTCACGCTTGACAGGCAGGTTGACTGACCTACATCTATAAATTATTTTCTTGCTTTTTTGATTATATATATTAGGCTTGTTGATTTTTTATTTTCTATGTTAAATATCATTAAAGAAAGACCTTAATTAATTATATAGCAATATGTATGTGCATAATTAATAATTATTTAATTACACAGTTAAAAATCAATTAATTTACACAACTAGGTTGCTTAACATAATATAACTAAGTTCTAATTTTTAATCCTCAGATAAAAGTAATTCATAGGATAAATTAAAACATAAATTAAAAATTACAGTTCTAAGAATAAGATAGTTTAATTGACTCTTATATTCAGTCAAGTTACAACTTATTTGGCTGCTTTTATCTGACGATTGAAAAATTTACACTTAGCAGTATCCCTGGCCGCAATATAAATAAAATAGCTAAAGAATTTAAATGTTCATATATAAAATTCAAATGGTTGATATAAATTATTTGGATTGAAATAATGCTCTGCATGCTTGTTTTGAACTTACTGACGTTTCTTCGACACAAAAGCTTTCCAAGCTATAAAAATTGTTTTTAATAAAATATATCAAAATTTAAAATTAAACAATACTGATTTAGCATTTTTTTATATATGACATACTTTACTTTATATTGTAACTTAACTGTAACTTATTTAAGTCTGAGTCTTAAAAGAATATAAATCTCTTAAAGTTGACCAAGTCCTGTTCCCGTTGGGCACAGTAACATAGAGCTGTGGTAGTTCAGATGGTTAGCGCTCGCTGTAAGTCTCACAGTACCTGAGCAACCTGGGTTTGAACCCTGCCGGCACCAATGAAATTGTTAATTACAATTTTAAGTGCTGATTTATGACATGCTCGGTGATGAAGGAAAACCATTGTGCCGGACCTTCATTGCCTTAAAAACCCTCTCAGAAATGAGAGGAGCCCTGTGCCCAGCAGTGGATCATATATAGGCTTTAACTTTAGTTTACAAGTAACATTGTTTATGGTTACTAACAAGTTTAATTATAAGTTTCTTGATGACGAAGGAAGCCATTAGGATGTTTAAGAATAAAATCAAAATATTTCAAGATCAATCTGTCTTTATGCAACAAAACTATATCTGATTCTTGTCCATAACTCTCAGAAATAAGAGGCCTGTTCTAGCAGAATACTCATATTATTGATTACTACAGGATTGAATTGAAAATGCTTCATTAACACTGGCATTATATATCTGTACATAAATAACGAAATGTTGTAAAAATTAGATTAGTGTAGTGTGTAATTGTTAGTAAAGCCATTTAAAAATTATATCAAAGTATTTTATTTCTCACAGTTTCATCATTCACATTCAAAAGCAATGCCCATTTATAGCTTTGGCCATTAATGCAGAGGCAATATATTGCATGTTGTCAAAGGCATTGTAAGTCCTTGCATTTGCATGTGAAAAAAGATTGTCATTTACTTCGGGACCTCTTGGTAAAGTGTGAAAGAATATCCACCGACAGTAGGAACACCTCTGTATATCCTAGAAACATAATTGTAAAATTGCTTTAACATCAAGGTATATTTTAACACTTACATATATATATATTATTCATAAAGTTAGGTAAATAACCTCATCATCAAATTTGAATTCTTTGATTTCGTCTTTTTTGTGGTGTGTAGGACCAGCTATGATGACACAAGCATTCCGGAGCACATCTTCCTTATTTGAACATGCCATTATTGATGTTCGTGTTTTTAAAGTCATCTCTTGACTCGTCTTATAGAGGAGCGGACTGACTGGAGATTTCTGTGTAAAATAATTGAAGTAAATAGATTTGGCATTTATAATTGACAACTATACAAAACCTACAACCTATAGAAACAGTCTAAGCCTGAAACTAGAAATAACGTAGAACTAGTTTGATTGAAGCCCGTGTAATTATGTGCTTATGCACAAAATATTTTCGTGACATCGATTATATTTTACAGCAGCTGTTATTTTACTTTACCACAGCTATTAGGATGTATGGGAAAATTATGTTAGCAAATTTTTGCTCCATTCTTTAAAAAACTCACCTTTTATGCAAGCAATAAAAGCGCCTGTAAAAAAATATAAGCAATATGTATCGCTTGCTTAATATTGCTCATACTTTTTAAAACCTGGCTACGCTGTGTTCTTAAGTTCTAATTCTTGTACTATTATTTATTCTGTGGTAATCCCAACGGAAATTGAGGGGGGGGGGGCAAAAACCTAAATGATGTTCTAGTCTAGTAAGGTTTTTTTGCCGAGCGTGGCAACTATGGCAAATAAATCCCCCGTATGAGTCTATCTATAGGGAAGCCTATGGTCAGCAGCGGACTTTACTGTACGGACCTCCAGACGGAATTTCCGTCACGGCAGCCAGTTTCAACGTAGACTGTCCACCTGCGCATGATAGGATAATATAGTACCCGAGTGTATGCGTATGCACAGGTGCACTTTCTACTCCCTCACATTGTCCGATAAAAGCGGCCGACACGACCGGAGAGAGATCAGGCAACCATCAACCAACAGCATTACGTACTTTCCGAAGCACAGTGGTAAATCACCGCCAACTTTCTGACTCCAGACTCCTCTTGGCAGGAAAACCCAATGCCTGATTTTTGGCCAGACGAACGTGGGATCAAATGATCAGCAGTTCGCGACTATTACACCGGCGAGGCACTCAAATTGTTTGCGATAAAAAAAAAAACGAAAATAAATTTTACATACTGAGCAGCAACATTTGAACTTGATATTTGCACCAAGCAATGGGCACAGCAACAGATAAGAGTTGAGGACTGGATGTGGCGCGCCCAGATACGACACATTCACGCGATGCATTGTACCGTACTCCTCCTGTAAATTCGGGAAGTATCTTTACCGGGAATACAACGTGAGGTAGTTAAATGTTTTTTTTTGAAATTGTTTACAATACCGGAAGGAAGTTAGCATAGAATTTTTTTAATTAAACTGTTTGCCAATTAATTGATTCTTAAAAGCTCTCTTAGAATCCGTAATTGTTCTACGTCTATTACTATTAGTTAATTTATACTTATTTAAAAAAAAAATTCGAAAATTGTGAGGCATTCCATCTCTGTTCTAAAAGGTAATAACGCATCTCTAGCCTTCTTTGTTTGAAGCTTTTTTTTCTTTTTAAACGCAACTTTTTTTTCTTTTATAAAGCTGGCCGCAGTTTTTGTCCATGGACTGCAGTAGACGCTTACCATCAGGTCGACTGTAAATTACTTTGTTACTGTAGTATTATAAAAAAATATTTGCCACCTGTTCGGAGGTTAAGTTTAACACTATGAGGAAATCTGTAAGTATGCGGAATAAAAATGTTTCTAATAGATGTTAAGTTCGCCAACACGCATTTGAGCAGCGCAGAAATAAGAGCAGGCATGTGCCAGCAGAGAGGCGTATATAGGCTGTAATTTTATTTTTACAAAATAATATATTTTTATTCATTATAGATTCTATCGTAATATAACATAAAATTCATTCCAGGGCTCGGAAACGTTGTTAAAAATAACGTTATTAAAACGTTTGGAACGGTTCCTTGTATAACATTTTGTTCGGAACAAAAATGAAATGAGAACGTAATGTGAAAACGGTAAAAAACGGTTTATTCCGTAGGAAGCTAAATGAATGAAGTGTGCCACGACAAGTTTAAACCTATAAAGTATTTTTGTTTCGTATTGCAGGGTCAAAAAATGGGAAAAAACTTTTTAAAATGGTTAAAAACGTTTTATTGAACAAGAACGATTTAAAATTTCGTTCTCTTCATAAACGTTTTTATTATGATTCCGTTCGAACATAAACGAAACAAATAAGTTTTTGGTTATTTAAGGCGAAAACGTTTCGAAAAATATACCGTTATCCGAGCCCTGATCCATTCCATCAATTAATTTTTTGAAGCGACAGTGGCCTAATGGCAGGGTGCGGAACGCGAACTCAAAAGGTCGTGGTTTCGAATCCACCATTCGACTACTGTCGTGAACCACTACTAACTAAAAGCTTACCAGGAGTGGTTAAAGGAAATAATAATATCTAATGTTAATAGCATTGCTAGTATTGGAGAAAAATACATTACAGCCTATAAAAGTCTATACATTGCCTCATTAGGGGGAATTTGCCATAGTTATCACGATTATCAGGTGGGTTGGTAACTTCACAGTTTCTCTACCGACTTCAAATAGTAGACGGTACTCAATTCGACTGTACAATTTTTAAGTGTGTTACCTCATAACTTTTTACTGAGTGGACCGATTTAGATGATTATTTTTTATTTGAAAGCTGGTGCTTCACACGTAGTATATAAATATATATTTTCAATTTTTTTTTGATCGATGATTGATTTCATTTGATCAAGATCTGACCAATAGTTTTTGAGTTATTCTTAATAATTTATATTGAAGTTGGTTGTACAACATTTTTAATTTTAAATTATTATTATTTTGAGTTGTTATCAGGATGTAGCTGCTGCCCATCACCAGTTTCAGTTTCCCTCTGACGTAAAAGACGAAACTGGAGATGTGTAGTACACAGCACCGCAACTACACTGTCTACATTCTGTAACATAACTCATCGCAGCGTATGCCTCTATTATGTGAAAAATTGGCCAGAAACATATGGGATTTTTTATTTAGATAAAATGCTTCATAAAATAAACGTTAAAATATTTATCACGATCACTATTACTACAGCCATCACAAGACCACTGCTGAACATAGGTCTCCCCGGTAAATTACTACAAAGTACGGTTCCAAGCCATCTGCATTCATCGCCTGCGTACTTTATCAGGTCTTTAGTCTATTTAGTGGAGGGACGCCCAACACTGTGCTTGCCATTACGAAGCTTTTTTTTATAGGATAGGGTGACAAACGAGCACACAGTCCACCTGATGGTAAGCGATTGCTGTGACCCATAGATATCTACATCTATCCTCTATTACAAATCAAAATGCAGATGCGTTGTCACCCGTGAGGACACTACACTCACCATATGATACACAGCAGCGTTAAGCTGCTATTTTACGCTGGTATTCTGTGAGAGCGTGGTCCTGCCCCGGTCGAGTCGACCCATTTATGCTACAATTATATTACTAATATAGCTGCAGCATGGTTCTACCACGTAAAAAAACGAACTGCTCCTCGAGAACCTTTCTTCCCCATCAGTTGTCGGTTCTTCCCATCGTCTTATAGCCACTTTGGACTATGTCAGTTACTCTCTTTCAGTTGTTGCTGAGAAGTTTATGAGTATCACTACTACTCGTCGGCTATGTTACACTTTATATAATATTCAATGATGACGAAATAAAACAATAAATTATACTGACGATTACTGCCATCACCGTCGCTAACGCTTGCAAACTCGCATGCGTTCGTGACCTCATGCACAGCACTGGAACGGTGGATTGTCTTGCAAACCGTTCCACACATTTATGCGTTGACGTGGATACGAATATAATGTCGCACATCAAGGAGAATACTCTGCGATTGGATATTAAATTCTATTTATTATTTGTGAAGCACTATAATTTATAACCGTAGAAAATAAAACAAAAAAAATATATGAAATTGTTTTGAATTAATAAAGGTTGCCTGGAAGAAATCGCTTTTAGCGGTAAGACCTATTGAATCTTAAATTTTTTTCTTCTTTCTTTCATGTTTTGTTTTGTGTACAATTAATATTTTTCTTTCGGACAACTGAGATCCGTCGTAATTAAGTAATATTAGAACTTACATGGAAGTAATAAAAACAAGTTAGATAAGAAAAACAAGTAATAATAAGTTAACGTAATTCTATTGTGTATAGGGCGATCAATGAAGGGAATTCGTTTTCAACCGACTCCAAAAAGGTGGAGGTTCTCAATTCGTCGGAATCTTTTTTATGTATGTTCACTGATTACTCGAAGACGCCTGAATCGATTTGGAAAATTCTTTTTTGTTTCAAAGGGTATACTTTCCAGGTAGTTCCATATAAATTTGATCAAGGTCTGACCAGTAGTTTTTGTAATTAATAATTGAAGTCGGTTGTACAAAATTTTTAATTTTACTACTTTTGAGTTTCTACGCTCACTTTCCACAATAAACTTCTATAGCGACGATGAGCATTCGATAACGTCCTCAGAATACTGTCACGACTGTCCCGTGTTCTTTAGAATGGGAACGCGGTTTATTTGTGAATGATGGCTGCGAAGCCATTAGTTTGGTACTCCGCAAACATCGCCGATGGTTGCGGTGTAAGAGTGTCGTTACATTTTTAATTTCAGATAAGGTAAGTAGTAAGAGGCAACTATGGCACATGCCAGAAAATTTTAATGGCTACCGTTATAACTACCTCGTTTATGTCGTAAAATACATTGATCGGCGACGAGCAACAGAGTCAAAGGTGCGAGACGTCTGGTAGTTTCCGCATCTGGTAAATCGTGCCACTACTAATGATGACCTATGGAACAGGAACGTGCTCCTTCACTGACTCTATCAAATCCCTCAATCGCGCAGCGAGCTTTGCAGAGCTATTCTTATATTTTTTCCTTGTAATACAATTCGTGATTAGGAACATCTACGTTAGAGTCACAGTTCTAAAAGTAAACTGTTCTAAATCCAAAACTGTGATTCTTCTATAATCATAATATTATAGAACTGTGACTATAACGCGGTTAACCTAAGCACAGTAACCCACCAGGGCACCATACCTGTCATTAAGTACGTAATGGATACAATGTTATTATTACCTGCTGTTTCGGTTTGAAGTGGGTAAGATAGCGACTGTCATTTTAGTCTGTGGGACAGTCTTTCAGACAGTTTTTTTAAATTATTTATTAAAAGTATTATAATTATGTTGTTATTTATTATACAAAACAAGAAACACTTTATTTTGGCACAGATTATTAACGTAGGTTACACAACAATATACTAATTTATAATAAAAATTGAAATTTTAGTAAATTTGCTTTTTTATTTAATTAAAAAAAACCGAACTAAAGAGTAAAAAATTAAATTTATTTTTTACTCTTTAGTTCGGTTAGGTCGGCCACATACATACGGAATTCCGTTTCGGGATTCCGTTTCGGAATTCCGAACGGGTCGGCCACACACATATGGAATCCCGTTTTGGCCGCAAAATTTCGAACGGAAAACTACCGTACGTGTGTGACGGGTCATAGATTTTATTTGAAGTAGCTGCGTTCGGAATCTCGAATCGGAATATCGAAACGGAATCACGAAACGGAATTCCGTATGTATGTGTCGGGCCTTAAGGGGTATTCTATTTTTTAGTGCGGCTAACTACAAAAGCTGTTTTTTTGGAACGATGTTCTTTTTTACGTGGCTTACAGTAGATTGAACTGGCAGAAATCGTAGTTGTTTTATGAATTATTCCCAAATCCTGAGGATCCTGGCTAGGATAATAGGAGGATTTGAAGGGGATGAAAATCACATTCGAAAATTCCGTTACATAGAGACATACTAAGCTAATAAAAGCGTGTTAAAAAGAGTGTACTGATCAAATAGTTCTGGATTCGAATCCCAGATCGGGCCTAAACCAGTTATTGGGGTTTTCTGTCCAGAAATTCTCAGTAGCAGCCTTGAGCCAGGAATTTGGTGGTGTTTCACGGCGAGAAAGCACTTAAAGTCGTTGGTCCTGCGACTGATCTCTCTCCAGTCTTGTTGATGAGAGTTAGGGAATGGAGAGCGCGTCTGTGCTTGCGTGCGAATTCATGCACTATATTCCTGTCTTGCGCCGATTACTGCCGCTGGTCTATGCCATTCAAACCGAAATATGGTATTGAGGACTTTACCCGTACCGGTACTGGATACATCCCTAGTTTCCGATGTTACAAGCACGTAGCATAACCTAACCACGATGTCACGATAGAAGTGTGACTAATAAAAGAACAGTAACAATACTATTTAATATAATTTAATGATATGATATTTATAAAAACATCGATTTTTTTTGTTTGATGATAATCGAGTCGTAAATCGATGTTAAGCTATTGAAGTCAGCATGTCATCACCGTTTTGCAAAATGCTTGACTGTAAGCTTGGTTATTACTTTTAAAGAATAAAAAATAATTGTGTAAAGCTTTGACAAAGGAAAATTATGTCCATAAAAATATGTACATTAGTTTCAACAAAAAATATATAGATACTGAATACAAGAATGTACCTTTAACGAAAGCCGTGGAGCTCAAGGTAAATATCACAGTAAGCGAGCAACCGGGATTCGAGCCCCGACGGCAGCAATGAAATTATTGATTGCAATTTTAAGTACTGATTTACTACGTGCTTGGTGGTGAAAGGATACGTCGTCAGGAAACCTGCATGTCTGTGAAAAAAATATGTCGAAGACATGTGAAGTCCACCAACATGCGTTGGAGCAGCGCGGTGTACATTTCCTTGCCCTAAAACTCTCTCAGAAGTGAGAGGAGGCCTGTGCCCAGCAGTGGGACGTCGTATATACGTATGTATGATGTATCTTTACATTAATAACTTTACCTTTAACAAATAATGACATTGTGAAACAAAATATCGGTAGTATAAAATGTTTTTTCAACGGAAAGTCGATACGACAACGTCTGCTCGTCTGCATAGTTACGAGGTACTCCAGAGGTACTGTTATATCTCTAGTACAATATTAGTAATCTATACTGTAGCAGTACCTATATACAGGGACTTGAAACGTTACTCAAAATAACGTTACGCGTATTTCCAGTAGCGATAATTCGTACCGTTCCACTAGGATCGTAACAATATTAATTCCTTGACTGTAACTATACTAACAAACGGAACGAAATATACAACAATTTAATAACAATATTAAACATATAACGTTATTAATATAACGATTTAACATCATTATTAATATAACTATATAATATCGTTAGTAATATGACGATTTATAATAACGCTATTTACTTTGATACGCAACGTTGCCAGCTAGTTTCTTCATCTTGAGCAAAAACTATATAAATTATGACCTTGAAGGCTGCGGCCACGCAGCGCGTTATTACTAGATTATCATTCCCAAGTGAATCTGTAACGTTTCACTCGTAATGTTATAAGTTATAAACGGATATAGGCATATCCAACGTTACTGATACCTATAACGTAACGAAAAATATTGTTCTACGAAAATGATATTCTTTAACGTAATTTTTTATAACCTTCGCTTAAAATTTTGAACGTTATAACATTTAGTGTAACAAAACGAAATTCATTTCGTTTTCAAGTCCCTGTGCAACAATAATGTTATTTGTAATCACGCGATTAGTCACTATTGCTATTATAATTTTAGCAGGCACTCTTTAATTTACAAATTTTGTTAAAATTACTCATCTGTGACCCATTCACCTAAAAAGTTAAAGCCTGTATAGTTACTTCCTGCTAGGTACAGGCCTCCTCCTATTTCTGAGAGGGTTGAGATGTTGCCGGACTGGCTGATACATCTGCTATCACCAGCAACGTACGTAGTTTGGTTATATCGTCTCAGTGGGGTGGGTATGCGCGTGATCATTTTTCACGTATGAAAACACGTGTGAAAATTAAATTAGTAGTCCAAAAGGTTTGGGATAAAGACTTTTTTTAATCTGTCTTGATAAAAAAAAAACTCCATTTAAATTATGATTGTAGTTAATTTGATAAGGATTTGTTCTTTGTTACCACAAACGAGCCAGATAAACTTAACTTTTACATACATATACTTGGGTTGGCAAAGACTACGGACTTCCATTTGGCGCGATCCTGACACACCTCTCTCGCCTCCTTTACATCTATATATCTACGCATACACGCTCGTCGGTTAAGGGTACTCCTAATCTGGCCCATTTTCAATACATCGCCAATTCGGTCGATAAACCTTCGTCTAGGGCGTCCCTTCCCGACTCTGCCGTTTACTTCTGTAACATAAATTTCTTTAGTCACTCTTTCCTAGTTCATTCTTTCTACATGACCAAACAACCGAACCATTCCTTTCTTAATCCTGGTCACAACGTCATCTTGCAAAACATACTTTTCACTTATCACACTATTTCTTACCCTGTCATTCAGATTCAGCCCTCGCATACTCCTTAATGACCGCATTTCTACAGCATTTATTCCACTCTCATGCTTCTTCTATCAGACCCAACTTTCACTACCATACATTAAAGTAGGGACTAACACAGCATTATGAATTGCCATACGTGCCTTTTTGACACATTCTGGCTTTCCATAATAGCGTGTAGAGCCCCATTCACTCTATTTCCTGCGTTCACTCGTTGTTCTACATCCTTATCATATCTACCATCCCTACTAAATAAACATCCCAAATATACAAACTCATCTACTTGCTCAATCATATCCCCTTCTATTCTTATTTCATATAACGTTTTACTTTCTTCTCTTTCAAAAACCATCACTGTCGTCTTACTTGCGTTCACTTTCATACCCCTTTCTTTTCATGACCAGTTCATTAAAGTGACCATCATTTGCAACTCGGCCGCTGACAATGCAAACAATCTTTTTTTTTATAGGATAAGATGACAAACGAGCACACAGTCCACCTGATGGTAAGTGGTTGCTGTGGCCTATAGACATCTACAACTTTCCTCGTTTGCGAATCAAAATGTAGAGCGTTGTCACCCATGAGGACTAAGATGGAATGCCTATTTTCCAGTACGCTGGTATTCTGTGAGAGCGTGGTCCTTCCCCGGTCGAGCCGACCCATTCGTGCTACAACTACATATACTACTAATATAGCTACAGCATGACTCTTACACGTTGAAATTAACTAACTACTAATAAACTTAAATTATACTAGTGTAATAAAGCTTTTTTTTTATTGCGAGTTAATTTTAATATAATATAATTTAATAGCGTCGTGGGCTTTTTTCTTAGAAATCTTTAATAAATTATTTTCATATATTTTTATCGATATAGGTACCTACGCAGCGCACGCCATTGAAGCACTAGAAGGCAAGTTTTTTTTACTTACAAATAACACAATGACATTAGCTGAATTGCGAAAAATATTCATAATTATGCGGCGAAACTTTTCTCATGAATTAGTATTTCCGAGATTAGCGCGAACATAAAACCAGACATACGAGTAAGAGGCTGACGACTTTATTTTCAATTAGCTGATACCCGCGACCTCGTCCGCGTTGCTTCCACCATCACTAACCCGCGACCTCGTCCGCGTTGCTTCCACACATCACTAAACAAGTAGTGCTTATAAAAGTCGTTGTTTCTTAAAACTTTAATAACTTTATATTAAAAGGAGATATCGCAATAACTTTTTGAACATAGAATTATTCTATGTTTTTAAAGATAAGGGCCAAGTGTCTAAGAAGTAAAACTTAGAAAACCTAATTGAAATCTATACAGTAATTTTTCCGTGATGCGCGCACAACTGCAAACCTCTATCATTTTATAATCTTTATATATAAAAATTACGTGTCACGTTGTTTGTCTACTATATATATCTAATAAACTACTGAACTGATTTCAATGAAATTTTGCACACTGTGAAGTTTGGTCCAACTTGAGAGATAGGGTAGTTTTTATCCTGATAAGTGACGCTCAATATTTTTTTTATTACGAATTTAAGGATTTTTTATATGAAGGTTCATTAAAAAGGGCAGAACAACGTCTGCCTGGTCAGCTAGTTATAATATATATATTATTATTAAAATCCAATGTACTTTTTTAGACTTGTGAAGGGTTGTAATGATGATGATGATCACGATGATGTAAAGATTTTAATTTCTAATTACCTGCCTAGATAGTCACATTCCCAAAGCAAATTGTCAGTTATAGTGACGTCATTGGCTCCCATCAGAGTAGCCGCTTTTGATACGGCCATATTTAGCACTGGTTCATTGACTTCTTGCAATATCATTACTTTAGCCGTGTGCAATGTATTCTGGAATAAAATATATTATTTAAGTACATAACAATATTATGCATTAAAAATAAAAAAAAAATCTTAAAATAAACCTGATATGCGGTGATTTATAAGTATACTGTAAGGTAACAAAGGTCAGACTAAATGCCTAACAGCATTCGCTGCCAGTCAGCCCGCTAAAAGAATGTCGTTACCGTTACCTGTGGTGCACTGTGATGTGATGAAATATTGTGGCAGGTGACACAGATTTAATACTTGGTTAAAATAAAGACTCAAACACTACTAAGGTCAGGATATATAATGTCAGATAATATAATGTGTCGCCAGTCTGGGTATTTAATACCTAGCGTACAGAGATGGTTAGGGTGCATTGGCGTTATCGACAGAAATTTACCATACGAAACACAGCAGTGTTAAGCTGCTAATTTACATTGGTATTCTATGAGAGCGTGGTCCTTCCCCGGTCGAGCCGACCAATTTGTGCTACAAATATACTACTAATATAGCTGCAAAATGGCTCTACCACATAAAACCACGTTCCCTGCTGGACACTTCTTTTTAAATCTGTAAGGTCTTCTACTTTCTCAGCTTAAGAAAGGTTTAAGCGCCACGATAAGTAGGTTGACTGACTATTGCAACTACATATGATGGAGAGCCTGAGAGAACTCTTCTGTAGCCCGGAGAGAAAGGAAGGGATGTCATAAATAGTTACTTACATCTCATAAACATAACACATTTAAATGTGATTTTTTTTGTTAAAGAACGTATAAAATAAAACTGCACGCACCTCACTTCTATTTTGGGCAATTTTATCTCTCCTATCATGTCAAATATAGTAAAAAGCTAAAATGTACTAAAACACAATAGAAAGGGCGCGCATATTTAGATTTCATGCTACTAAATACGGTAAATATGACAGAATCTAAGTATGACAGTATCTAAATGCTACCACCAGCGTAAAATAGCAGCTTATTGCGGCCGTGTTTCAAATGGTGAGTATAGAGAACCGGAGATCCTTTTTATTGGAAAAGAGCCATTCCATCTTAATCCTCACGGCTGACTACGCATCTGCATTTTGATTAGAAAACGAGGATAGATGTAGATGTCTATGGGCCACAGCAACTACTTACCATCAGGTGTACTGTGTGCTCCCTTGTCACCCCTAACCTATAAAAAAAAAAACAAAAATACAAGGCGAGGCGCGTGCACTTTTAAATAAGACAATCTTTACGTAGGTAAATTTCATTATTTCGATAACAAACAAACCATTTTTTTTAAATGCGTATCACGTAGTGAACATTTTAGGTTGATGGCACTTGATATAATTTCTAAAATCATCTCGGTCGTCCATTGCTTGAAGCATATCAAATGTTGCGGTTTTTTACACCTTAAATATTGAAACATTATAATTATTATAAACCCAATAACTTATTTTGAAATGTTTAAGGTCGTGTCACCTCATGTACGCGGCGTAAAATAATCTATATCAAAGATGTTATAAATCAATTTGCAAAGATCCGCGCAATGAAATAAAATGATGTATTTTTTATAGGATAAGGGTGACAAACGAGCACACAGTCCACCTGATGGTAAGTGGTTGCTGTGGCCCATAGACATCTACATTTATCCTCGATTACGTATCAAAATGCAGATACGTTGTCACCCGTGAGGACTGAGATGGAATGCCTCGTTTCCAGTAAAGAGGATCTGCGGTTCTCTACACTCACCATACGAAACACAGCAGTGTTAAGCTGCTATTTTACGATGGTATTCTGTGAGAGTGTGGTCCTTCCCTGATCTATTATAAAAGTACCTATATTACTGCTATCCGTGTATACAATCAGTTACCACTAGCTATTAAGTAATTAAATGGAAATATGTTCAAAACAAAATTAAGGAATCAATGAGTATTTTAGTAAAAGTAATGTTAGTAAGTAGTTAATTTGAAATTTATTTTTCATTGTTGCATATCCGACATGGGTAGACTGTTGAGACTAAAACTATATGTTTTTCTATTAAGATCATATTGTACACAGTTATGCAATAAATGTATCTTTATCTTTATCGAGCCGACCCATTCGTGTTACATCTATACCAGAAATATAGCTGCAGCATGGATCTACCACATATAATTCAGTACGTTCAGCAGTGGACTTTAATAGGCTGTAACGGTAACGGTAAGTAAGTGGCAGGGATAGATCTCCTAAATATTTTACTTTGCCACTGTCGATTGCAATGATGATTAAGGGCCCATCTCCAGCAGTAGATTTTTCGGGCTGAAGAATTGGTTAGTTACCAAATACACTGCTAGATCATTTAGAGCGCGGTAGCTCAAGGTAAATTTCACAGTACGCGAGCAACCTGGGTTCTATCCCCGATGGCATAAATGAAATTGATAATTGCTAGTGCCGATTCATCAAGTGCTCGTTGGTGAAGGAAAACATCGTGAGGAAAACTGCATGTCTAAGGAATAAGAAAGAGAGAATATTTTGAAAAGACATGTGAAGTTCGTCAACACGTATTGGGGCAGCGCAGCGGACATTTATTTCCTTCTAAAACTCTCTCAGAAATGAGAGGAGGCCTATAAAAAGTAGTGGGACGTATATAAGCTGAACTTTAACTGGTAGACCGTTTATTTTTCTAATGTTATGTGTTAGTACTAACAGAAAACATTGGTGGTTTGCTCTATTGATCATTGGTAATATCTTAAACGGACTTCTAAACAGCTTCATTGTTTTGTTATATAAATGTATGGAACACTAACAATTTCTAATTTTACCCATTCATGTATGCTTCAAAATATTTTTGACAATGACTTAAATATTATAGTGACATAATCAAGACCAATCAAGACAGAACTTCTATCAGTTACCGTTATTAGTCAGTGTTGCCAACCTTGTGTTGTTAAAACATTTGCCCCGTTCGTTTAGACTTATTTATCAGTTTTTGTAGAATTACAAATCGATAATTACCATCTAGTTATTAACATTTTTTTTTATTTTGGACTTTTAAAATAATCAATCACAGCAGTCTGACATACGTAGTTAAAATTAAAAAATTAAAGCCTCATACCCACAGAACACTTACTCTCTACCGAGAGCCCATGCCTATAAGACCTCTATAATTACCTCTGTAATACATAAACTTCTACACGGTAAGTTAATTCTACCAAGTTTATTGCAGCAAATGTGCCTTAAAATTCCCTACCATATCCATGGATACCCAATCACAAATTTATTAAATATTCCCTTCAGTAGAACCAATCTTGGTAAGTTTTCACCGTTAAATAGATGTAATCATGACCAAAGAGAATATAATCACTACGTTATCATGACATCGACATCTTTAGCGACCCAGAACGTGTATTCAAAAGAAAATGTAAAGACTTACCTACTTTGCCCGATTAATGATTCTAAAGTATTATTTATTGATGTATACACCTGTAAAGACATATCCTTTGTCTAAAAAAATTGTATTTCGTTTGTAACATGCATATTGATATTGTCGATGGTGTATCTATCTAAATAAATAAATAAAATTACGAACCAAAGAGATTATAATCATTACGTTTATTACGAACGAAAAAAAAGGTTATTTTTGGCATATTTCAGAGGTTGTGCATTCATTCATTCATGATAGATTAATCCTCTTTGTAAAGAGTAATTGTGTTCTGTGGATTAATCGTTTAAAAGTATAATATAAAAATATCATTTAAGAGTACTATAATATAAAAATCAATATGACTACAACATAATAATATTATACGTGGTAGAGCCATGCTGCAGCTATATTAGTAGTATAGTTGTAGCACGAATGGGTCGGCTCGACCGGGGTAGGACCACGCTCTCACAGAATACTAGCGTAAAATAGTAGCCTAACATAGCCGTGTTTCGTGTGTTGAGCGTAGAGAACTGGAGACGCTTTTTACTGGCAAAGAAGCATTCCATCTAAATCCTCACGGGTGACAACGCGTCTGCATTTTGATACTTTATTGAGCATAGATGTGGATTTCTATGGGTCGCAGCGGCCACTTACCATCGGGTGGACTGTGTGCTCGTTTGTCACCCTATCCTATAAAAAAGGAGATAATCCTAGTTAAAAAAAGCATATTATGGTATTATATATTAGAAGATCCGTTGTAACTAGCAATTGTTATGAAAACATTTAGAAGCTGTTGTATAAAATATTATATTGTAAAGTTGAACATTAAAAAAAAGTCCCGCTGTTTTTGCTGGTTCATCCCAAGACAGAGGCTTTTTTGCGAACCAGTGGTAGAAGTAAAAAATTACTTTTAATAAGTATTATGTATTATAATCTATATTTAACAAAAATGATTCTATTCTATTCAATTCTATTCTAATAAATCTCTATGGTGGATATTAGTAGATATCAACAGCTCTTATACATAGTTAGCACTAGTCATTTTTGTGTATGGCGTTTACAATTCTTATTAAAACATCATCATCATCATTACAGCCCTTCACAAGGCTACTGCTAAACATAGGCCTCCTACAAGGAATGCCTCAAAGCACGGTCCTGAGCCACCTGCATCCATCGACTTCCTGCATGTCTTACAAAGAAACAACAAAAATTTGTCTTATTAAAATATGTTATGATAATATTTTCAATTTTGTAAAGATAAGAACACAATTCTACATGTGTTAATTATAAGGTTAAAGATTTAACACGTGATTTGTGATTTTCTCAAACGTTTCGTTTCTTTTGTGGAGCAATGATCTTATAGAAAAAAGATTTTTCCTACACGATCAATGTTAAGGAGAGTATAACATAAAAACCGGTCAAGAAACATGTTTTTCGGATATATGAATGTACGAGTATTTCTATTTCTTTGCGACCTTTCGACTCAGCTTGAAGGGATTCAAGGTGTCAAAGAGTTCTTGGAGTTGAATTTTATATTAATAAACCATAGCCTCACGTCTGTTCTGTGACTGTATTATCGCCGAGGGGATTGGAATGGTCCAAAAGTTGGGGGGCTACTTGAACCATATTTAGCCAAACAAATATGGCTATACATGGAAAATTGTAAAAGAAGGTATAGGTATAGGCCAGCCCATTACCTATACAGTCACCAAACCAAGTATTACATTAGTCACCTTTCACTACATACTATGCAAGTAACACAGTTGGCACATTATTTTTCTAGTTATAAGTCTCACATAAAGAGGGGACAGTGATAACCAATAACGTGATTACAGTAATAAAACCAATACGATACTCACAAGAGAATATGGTGCTTCTTGGTACTGCATATAATATATTATAATAGTCGTTTCATATTAGTACTTAAAGATATGAGTTTTAATCGAGTATTGATGGTAGAAACAAAGCAGCATCAAACGGTTATTTTAAGTTGATTTTCTTTGAGAGCACGCTCTTTCTCGGTCGAGCCGACCCATTTGAGCTGCGGTCATAATACTGGCTCTAGCACGTGATAAGGCTAGGCTGAGCCTTAAGAGGGCTAAATAAACAGTAGGCATTATTACTAGTTGGGACATCAATACAGGACTCTCATCTGGTTGTGCTTTATAAATATATATAAAAAAAAATGGTTCTTTTTATTATTACCATCACGTTTTATTTTCCAAGTTTATCTAGAAAGGTTTTATTCACGAGGGATTCATACTTTTTTCTAAGGCCAAGGATAGCTCTGTCACTCAGGTACACGCTATTTAAACGTGTATCATTCAAAGGTTATTTAATTATGTCATAGTTATGTGAAATGAATAGACATATTTTAATAGACGTGGTAGAGCCATGCTGCAGGTATATTAGTGGTAAAGTTGTAGCACGAATGGGTCGGCTCGACCGGGGAAGGACCACGCTCTCACAGAATACCAGCGTAAAATAGCTTAACGCTGCTGTGTTACGTATGATGAGTGTATAGAACCGAAGACCCTTTTTACTGGAATCGAGGCATTCCATCTTAGTCCTCACGGGTGACGACGTATCTGCATTTTGATTTGTAATCGAGGACAGATGTAGATGTCTATGGGCTACAACAACCACTTACAATCAGGTGGACTGTATGCTCAATTGTCACCCTTATCCATTTAAATATTTTTTAGGTTATAATGAGTTGGCATTATATAAATTCGTTTTTATTTTTATCTTATGACTAGTAGTAAACAATACCGAACAGTTCAGGCGCTCATGCCTGGCCCGGTGAGTACCGCTCTAGTATTTATAGCGTTACTACTAGCGATACGCCCCGGCTTCTTACGGATAATTTTTGGATCTCGACAACAGTCACTACCTACCGGATGCAATTGTCATCAAACCATTCAGGGACCCACACAAACACACTCACACACACACAG